GAGTGCCCTTTCGACGTCCTTTTTTCGAGAACAACTCGCCTGAGCGCCCCTTGGGCGCCCCTTGAGCACCACTGGACCAATTTTGGGTTTTTCAGGTTTTGGAAATCTCAAATTAAGGGTTCCGGATATTAGTTTTGGACGTTCTTTAAGTTGTTTTGGACGTTCTTTAGGCCCTTTTAGGAAGTTTTGGACCCTTTCGGAGATGTTAATGAGAGTTTCCAAGCCATTTTTCCTTGCCTAGTGTGGATATCAAGCTGTTAAGCTACTATGAAGAAAATTTATGTTATTGTGTGATTTCTGATGACTTGTAAAGGTGTTTCTAGTTCTTTAATGTATGATCAGTAGTTTCATGTATTGCTATAGTATATAAGAGTGAAAGGAAATGTGTATAAATTATCAAGTGGATTCAAAGTTATGAATTGAGTTCCAAGGTGAAACTTCTTGGTGTAGTTTCAAGTATCATTACTCTGAATGCAGGGAGCTCAATATTAAGGGTTATCTTGAGACTCTAATGGTTATACATTCTCAAATAGAGAGGTTTGACACGTGTGGTGAGAGTAGCAGGAGGTCTTAGTCTTGGGTGCTTCCAGTATGATCCAAGGCATGGAACAGACTAACCTTGCGAGTGTGGTAGGGTGAAGCCCATTGACAATGACTTTTCAAAGCACTAAAAGCCACCACAAGGGCACAACCTACCATAGCTCGACATCTATTCTAAGTCCGAACAGTCCAATCAAAGTATTGTCATGCATAAAGTGTTTGGTTGTTTTGTTGTGATATGTGTATCTTGTGTAAAATGTTCAAATGTTCTTATCTATTATTAATTGTTTGTATGCTAGCTTACCCTTTTTTCTATAATTGCTTGTATGTTTCTTTGAATCTTTTTTGACTATGATCATCTGGTGGGTGTGAACAGATGGTGATGAGATTCCTCTGGAGCAGGTGTTAGATGGAGGAGTTGTTGATGTATAGTAGCTTTAGTTAGTAGTTTTGTATATAATTTTGTCTAGTTATCTTGTAAATAAAGTTTTAATTTATAGTTATATTAGATGACTATAATTAACTTCACATTCATGTCTTGTCGACTATTTTTGTTTTTATTATTTATGTGATGGTTATTATATAGTTTAATATTATATTTTGAAATGTTATATTTATGTTCTATTCTATGTGTAATATTTTATTTTAATAATTTTATACTATTAAAATTTTTATTATTTATGTGATGGTTATTATATAGTTTAATATTATATTTTGAAATGTTATACTTATGTTCTATTCTATGTGTAATATTTTATTTTAATAATTTTATACTATTAAAATGAATGTTACCTATATGATGAAGGTAAATACTTTTCTAAAATTCTATTATTGTATATCATTATCCTTGCAAATTATTATTTTTTCTTTATTTTGGTCGAAGTTAAAGTCCTCCTACTTTAATAAGGAAATGAGAAATTAAAATAGTATAGTTGGAAACAGTTTTAACTCTTACAAAAGAAAGATACGAAGAAAATAAAAATAAATTCTTTATTAATGAAAAATAATTTACGAGGTAGTTAAAATTTCTTATATAAAAGGAATATATATTAATGAAGTTGTATCACCATAGTCTAAAATCAGAAAAGGAATCTAAACCTAATATTTTAAAATCTTACACTAAAAAATGTAGAAACTGTTGAAAGAGTGTGATTATCCTAATATGAATTCCTTGCATGTCGTCATTCTTATTCCCAATGCATGCATCACTGCAACCTGACACATTATTGATGCATCTCTGGTGTGGAATCAACATGCATTGGGTCAGTTACAATAAGGTTCCACGCCAGAGCAAGGACCATCGCACAATGTTCTAGAAATAGACACTTTCCTGCAATTTTTACCAAACTCCAATGCCATTTTCCCAACTTTATCACAATTTTATATAATAGATAAACCCTAACCCTAAATATGTCTTCATGGATATCAAGTGGGTTTCGAGGTTCAATAGTTCCAAATTTGTTTCAACATCACTGATATAACTTTCTTTGGCCATGGTTCTGCAATGGCAACAGTTGCAGAAATGCTAGTTACACACTTCAAAAGATGCTTATCAGTGCATAATGTTATGTTTCTCTTGTTTTTCCACACTAACTTACTTTAAGTGAGCACTTTCTAAGGAAAATAAATAAAAGGAAAAAAATAACAACTTATATTTAAACAAACTTAATCTTCATGATCTTCATGAAGACATAGAAGAAGGAAATAAGAAGAAAAAAAAGTTTAACGAGCTTATTTATAAATTAGGATTATCGATACTCTTTCCTATATTTTTTTAACTTTTATTTTTAATTTGCATATAAACTAATTTTAAATTATAAAAAATGTATTTTATTTTTTATTCTTATTTTTCTTTGTTGATTTTCTTATGGAGAAAATTGTTTAAACATATTATTCATAAATATATGGAGGTTTTGCGTAAATTAATTTTAACTTGTGAAAGAAATTATTTTTCCTTTTCCTTTTTTTCTATTTTAAAGGTGCTTCTTGATAAGTTTTTCATTATAACATAATACTTGAGTATTATTCACTATAAATACAGTGAGGACATTAAAATGTGATTATATATTTCATTAAAAGTTAATTTTATTTTGCAATAGATTTAGAGGACTAAAAAAATCAAAACTTATTTTTACATTTAGTTTCCTAAATATTTTTAAAAGGTTGCTTATTGAGTTAAACCTTAAATTTGAAAATACAAGAAAACACTAGAGGGATGAATAATGTTTTTGAAAACCTTTCACAAAAAAGTGTCTCATGATTTGTAAAGGAAATATATAATTTGTAAGTTGTATGGACGATAGTTTTTATAAGATGAGTAAATGGAAAGCATTTTAAAATCAAAGCAGTACACCACATATTTTATAGTGGTTCACTTTATCTAAGCTATGTGTAATTCTCCTTTAAGAACTCTTAAAGGGTTTTCACTAATCTTTTACAAAGGTTACACAAGTTTTACCTCCCCCGGTTTACAACAAGTACTTTTACCACTTCTGATTCACCTAGTCAACACGACTACTCCATGTTTAACCACTCCTGGTTTATAAGTATTCTAACCACTTTTGGTCTCAAGTATTTAAACACTTTTGGTCTCAAGTATTTTAACTACTTCTAGTCTCAAACCTAGACAACTAGTCTAGACAAGTGTTTTAATTTTCTTCAGAATTTACAGCACAAACAATGTTAAGAGTAAAAATGTACAAATAATATGAGTATTGTGTGTTACATGTTCTGTGCTTACATGTTATATGCTTTTGCTTACTGTGATAAAATCTGTATAAGCATATATTTCAATATGTCATTTTATATGTGTATGTATGACATAAGTTTTTGGAAATGGAAAACCACAAGCACTTTGGTTGAACTTTAATGTGTAGCAAAACAACAATTTTAAGTCGATTACATTATGGGATGAATCGATTAAAACTCGTGTGTTTGCACAAACTTTTATAAAGTGTGCTGTGAGTTATTTTGAAGAGAAAAGTTTTCAAAAATGTGCTGAGTTATTTTTCTTAATCGACTGCATGCAATTTGTATTGACTAAGTTGGTTGTTATTTTGAAAACCGATTGAATGCTTGACATAACTATTTTAACGGTCATATTTTTAAATATGTTGACCAAACATTTATTGTGAGTCGACTGTATTAAATGTGCATTGAATTAATGAGCTTAACTGATGTTAGTCTGTTATAACTACAAGATACATTCGACTACATTAGTAGCAAAATCGATTAAAATGCGTCTGATGTGTGTATTACTATAAATTGACGCTGATTTGAATTTTGTAAGAACTTTTGTGCATTTAACACTTTCATATCTTTTACAGAACGTTGTGTGATCTTATAGAGAAAGGAAAAGCTCCAAGAATCAAGATTGACCGTGGTGATCAAAGACTTGAGGTTTCTTATGAAGCAAGGCTTGCTGATTTGAACGGCTGATCAATCTGCACAATTGGGTGTATTCTGCGCGATCAGGATTTGCAATCTTTGAAGATTGGCTTGGATTCCCTACGGTGTTTGCAGGAAGAAGAACAATGTTCTTGACTTTGAGGGTGCGTCAAAGGGATAACCAACAAAAAAGGGTGTTCTTGCTATTGGTCTTGTTTGTTTGTTGCCTATATTTAGATTAGAGGGTTAGAGAGGTGTTTTAAACTTTTGACGTGAGGTCTATGTAAAAACCTTATTGTAAAAACCTTGATCTTTATAGTGTATTTGCTTCCCATGGTTGGAAGGACACTAGACGTAGGCAGGTTGGCCGAACTAGTATAAAAATCAGCGTTTGAATTCTTAGATCCCTACACTTTTTTATTAAGTCAATTAAGCTATCAATATATTCGATTAAGTTTACTGTTGCATTGCATATCTTTAAACTTGCGATTCAAGAAAATTGTAAAAGCATCTTATTTTGGGAAATAGATTTTGACAGCTTATATTTTTACACTTCACCAATTCAACCCCCCTCAAGGTGTGAGAAACTAAGTCATTCTATTTTAACAATTGACACCAGAGCTGGTTTTCATAAAATATTTGAAAAAAAAATCAATTACTATTTTCGTTTAATCAATTCGATCCTGAGAAATGACTTTCACTTCTCAAATCTTTGGTGAAGGTGCATCAACAAATAGACCACCTCTATTTGCTGGTGAGATCTATGCTTTTTGGAAAATCAGGATGCAGATTTTTCTTGTCCGTGGATAAAGGAGTATGGGATGCTACTCTTAACGGTCCATATGAGCCCACTCAAATTATCAATGGAAAAGCTGTTTTGAAAAACTTTTCAAAGTGGACTCAGGATAAGAACCGTAGAGCTCAATATGATGTTAAAGCCAGAAATGTTATTGCCTCTACATTGACCATGGATGAATTTTTCAAGATTTCCTAATGCAAGACTGCCAAAGAAATGTGGGAAGTTCTTGAGGTGACACATGAAGGCACAAACGAGGTAAAACGTGCCAGCACTACTACAAATGCTCCATCACAACATGACAGTCATGAGACTTTAACCCTATTAGTTTTAAATCTTTCATAGATACTAAGTTCCTAATGTTTGATGAATACCCTTCTGGAACTTTAACTCCTTGTAGAAACTTACAAAACACAATTTTTTCCTTTCTAGATAGAGTATGAGCTGCTGGAGGTAGATATTGACGTTTACCTTTCTTTATTGGTGCCAATTCTGTTCGAATTCCCATTTGAACTAAGTCTAGCCTTGCATTGATGCCATCCTTAGACTTTCCAGGAACATTCAACAACGTACCTATGACACTATCAAATACATTTTTTTCGATATGCATGACATCAAGGAAATGTCTAACGTACAAGGACTTCCAATATGGCAAATCAAAAAATATTGACTTTTTCTTCCACCCACTTGTGACTAGATCTCTTGCAAAAGGCTTACCAAATTTGTTGTTTATATCCTTTACTTTTTCAAAAACTTTATCACCATACAACAGTTCTGGAGCTCTACGTTCTTCTGTTGTCCCATTAAATGCTTTTCTCCATCCTCGATAACGGTGCTTTGAAGGTAAGAATCTACGATGCCCAAGAAAAACATTTTTCTTACCATGTTCCAATCGCACCCAATCTGTATTATCTTCACATATAGGGCATGCACACTTCCCTTTGATACTATATCCAGATAGATTACCATATGCTGGAAAATCATTAATTGTGCCAAACAGCATTGCCCTTAGTAGGAAACTTTCTTTTGTATACGCATCATACACCTCTACACCTTCGTTCCACATATCCTTCAAGTCTTCAATAAGAGGTGCCAAGTATATGTCTATGTCATTCCCTGGTTGTTTTGGACCTGGAATTAGCATGGATAACATCATGAACTTCCTTTTCATGCATAGCCATGGAGGTAGGTTATATATAATCATAACCACAGGCCACGTGCTATGCGAGTTGCTTTGCATACCATGCGGATTTATTCCATCAGTAGACAAAGCAAGACGTAGGTTTCGTGGTTCTTTCCCAAAATTAGGGTAATCATGGTCAACTTTTGTCCATTGAGGAGAATCTGCAGGGTGTCGAAGCTTTCCATCACGTATTCTTTCATCTACATGCCATCTTAAGTTCTTTGCATCTTGTTCATTACGATACATGCGCCTAAATCTTGGTATTATAGGAAAATACCATACCACTTTGCTCGGCACTAAATTTTTCTTATAGCGCGATGTCATACATTTAGGACATTTATCCAATGGGGCATATTCATTTCGAAAAAGAATGCAATCATTTGGACAAGCATGAATCTTCTCGTAGCTCATCCCAATAGAGCTTAACATTTTTCTAGCGTCATACATTCGACTAGGAAGCACATTATCTTGTGGTAGCATATTTTTTATAAGTGATAATAATTCAGTAAAGCTAGTATCAGACCATCCATTTCGTGCTTTCAAATTGAATAATTTCAAGACTGCTGATAGTCTTGTGAAACTAGTACAACCATTATACAATGGTGTCTTTGCATCCATTGTCAACCTATCAAACATCTGAGGACAATCTCGCATATCCTCTTCAATAATATTTACAATATCTTCAACTTCATCTAACTCATAAGTTGTGTCAGTCTCTTTCGGTGTAGAACTTGTATTATGATGAAAATCATTATTTATATGATTTTTTCTATTTTCACCATGTTTGGTCCAGCATGAATAACTTTTATCAATTCCATTGCATATTAAATGCTCTTCTAACTCATCTGCGTTCACTACCTTTAAATGACAACACTGTAAGCAAGGACAAATGATTCTACTAGGGTTTTTTGCATGCTCAACTGCAAATCTACAAAACTCTTTCACCCCATCCTCATATTCTTTTGATAATCGACTAGCAAACATCCATTTTCGGTCCATATTTTATTAATCTATCAAGATTAGTGAATATAGTATTAGCAATATATACAAACTAACATTATTTGTAATATCATACAAATAAAATAATATTCATACTACCTCAACTTTGAACACACCATTAATCACTCCATTTATGACAATCTTACCATCTATATTATGCAACATGAAGTGGTTTTATGTTTATTTCATTATAATAAATACAAAGGCATAACACTTAAATTAGTGATGAATCAATATTTTCTTCACTTCATTTAGTTTATTGTGCTAGAATTAATCAGGGAATTGTGCTTAATTGTCCAATATTTTCCCATTTGTCTTAATTGTGCTTAATTCGATCAGAAATTCTTATTTTAATTAATTTGAATTATCTGAGTTAATTATTTGCATTAATAATTGCAGGGAAATTTTGGAAATGCAAATTGGAACATTTGGAAGAATATTCATTTGTACACTGTGTTATTTAATTGGAAGAAGCTATGCGGCATCGATTTATTTTGTGTGTTGAATTGAATAATAAAAAAAAATGATTTGGTTCATAAGCTTTAGGAGGTTTCGGTCATCACTACAAAGTCCAGGAACAGCTGAAGCAGCATGATTGTGTGTCACAACCTTAGAGCAGCCGAGAAGTGAGTTTGGCACCATAACAATTCAATTCTTTTATAAGAAAGGAGAAATCAATTAGAATTGAGAAAGAACTGCACGGTAGAAATCCAAAATGTAGCATCAACATATGGACAAAAGTGGGGCTGCCATTAAAAGAGGAGAATATTATTCTTCAATTGAAAAGCATGGCAAAAGAGATAATGGAGGGGACCACATTGAAGCAAGAAAACTCACGGTTTTTACATCCACCGTGGAATGGTTTTATTCTTTCTTTTAAATTGCTCATGCATGTACACAAGGCCCCATATGCATAAATCTTTTGGCAATCAACATGGAATAAAAATGAGGGCCACCTCCTAAGAAAGTTCACGGCTTATTAAGAAGCTTGGGATGCAGATTTTTTGCTCTTCCATTCCACAATGCACTCACGGTCCAGCAGCTTCAAGCCAAGCAAAATGGAAGAAAGCAAGCTAGTTCACGGTATTGGAGGTGCAGCAAAAAGCTAGGAAGAGTTTCAACATCCAAAACTTGGAAGCTGCAAAGAGAAGAGAAGGAGGCCGTGAGGTGAGATGGTCCAGCAGCCGTGAGCAAAGGAGCTGGAATGAGGACGTGTTGAAGCAGCCATGGAAGAGAAGAATTGATCCATTGTCTTGGTCTTGAAGAAGGAGAGCTTAGCTATCTTCACGGATGATGGCAGAGAATCTTGGGGTTGTAAGTATAGTTACCAAAAGATCTAGAATGTTAGTGTTGCTTTTCACTACACACCATGATTTAAGGGTCCTATAATGAAGATTGGACGTCATAACATCACATTTTCATTGCTCTACCATAGTTGTAAATCAGAGAACACCAAAGTGTTATTCTTCTCAGTAAAATAGGTTTGGATTTGTTGAAATTGATCTCAAATTCAAGTTTGACAAGTAGAAAAGCAAAACTAAGATAAATGTTATTAAATATGATTAAGCAATTTTTAATAAAAATTAATTATTAACAAAACTGATCAGTGTTTTTTCATGCTGGGTAACTGGTTTGTTTGTTTTAAAGTTTAAGAAATAAAGAACTTTACACACTTATCAAGGCAAAAACACTTTCTCCATTCCAATTTGCAGGAAGGTGAAAATTCGTTCCTTTTTGTTTAACTAACATGAGGTTTACATTCTAAAAGCACACAACTCAACAAAACAATTCGTTAGAATTATTGCATGATCTCATATTCATGACTACTTTTCAAAGGGCTGTTTCTGTTGAATGAGAATATATCTCCCAAAAATGAAAATGCATGAATGATTATAAAAAAATAAAAATTGTTTTCTTACAAAAATGAAGATGTTCAGATTTTTGGCTATAAAATGAGACAAAATCCTTGAGGGAGGATGTTCAGATTTTTGGCTATAAAATGCAAGCAGCAGCAGAGAATGAAAGTCATTAGATTTGAGGAGTAGGAATTAGGAAGAGTTTTACGTTGGTTTTCATTTTTCCTCCTCCCCTTTGGGGAGGCTTTGGATTTGTTTTCTAGTTTTTAATTTCCAGTGTGTTTTTCAGTTGATTGTTGTTAAATTTTTATCTGTGAATTACCTTTGGTTTAAAATTCCATTTGCACGTTTAAATCTTTGATCAAATCTACTGGTGCACCCAAAAGAAAACAATCTAAAACAGGACTGACTATCACATGAATCAGTTTCAACATGCTTCCTAAATTAATCCACATGTGTATTAAAAGTAACCCCTTCAACCTTTATACTTTCAATATACCAGTAACAGAGAAAATTGCATACCAACAAATATAATTAAAAGGAACAAGTGATAATCATGTAGCAAGAATCCAATCATACACAAAATAGGATGGGTTATGCTTGTTGACCTGTTGGGTTTGGCATTGTTTTGCTAACCCTGTTACCTGTTGGGACTCAATGATTCAAAACACACATTCTAGAATTAAAGAAAATCTTGTCATATTGAAATGAAAGTGGAGTTTATTCTGATAACCTATGCTAACATCATCTTAGGCTTTTTGTAACTTATTTTATTTACATTTTCTCATCCAATTATTATGTTCAAAATTTTAAGTTCATGTTAAATCAAGTATAGCTAGTTTTCTTTTCTTTCATTACTGGAGCCAATCTTACATTACCGGAGCCAATGGTTTGCTTTTTTACAGGCAGCAGCAAAGATTATGACAATGAAAAAGAAGGTGACTGCTACCGTAATAGAACCCTTTGGCCATTAAATGGTTCTTTTTTCTCGATTCATCAGTTTGTGTTTTATTATGTTTATATGCTAACAACAATGTCTATGTAAATACTAGATAATATGATATCATAGTTTCTGTTACTTTTGCAGGGAAGGATAGTCAACATTACATCCGTTATTGGTCAGGTTGGCAATGTTGGACAAGCTAACTATAGTGCTGCAAAGGCAGGGGTAATTGGCCTCACAAAAAGTGCTGCCAGGGAATATGCTAGCAGAAACATCACTGTAAAATCTTTGAGCCTGATAGTCAAAAGGCAGGTTTTTATTATTGGTTGACAGGGTTAATTACAACTCAGCATTTCATAACAGGTTAATGCACTAGCCCCTGGATTTATTGCATCTGATATGACTGCCATGCTACGACCAGACATGGAGAAAAAAAGATTAGAGTTAATCCCCTTAGGTGAGTGACTGAAATACTTTTAACTCTGAAACTCTTTAACCATATCTTTAAATAATTGAAGATTTGCATGTTGCTAATAGCTATTGGTCTTTTACCTCGGATTCAGGAAGATTTGGTCAACCAGAAGAAGTTGCTGGACTTGTGGAATTTTTGGCCCTTAATCCTTCTGCTAATTACATCACTGGACAGGTCATTTATTAATTTCCCTATTAATATTGGTTTTCTAAATATAGAACTAACTATTGAGTTCTATCATATTAAACTATCCATATCTTATTTGTTATTAAAGAAAATCTTGTCATATTGAAATGAAAGTGGAGTTTATTCTGATAACCTATGCTAACATCATCTTAGGCTTTTTGTAACTTATTTTATTTACATTTTCTCATCCAATTATTATGTTTTGCGTTTATGTAAACCATAATTTCCACGTAACAGGTGTTCACCATTGATGGAGGTATGGCAATGTAAATCTCAGGAATCTGTTTCCGAATATAGCAATTTGAACTTCTTTACATCACAGTTCATCGCACTTGAATATGCAGATCCTGATGATCAGACTTGGTTCACTCACAGGTCTAACTATCGAATCTATTTTTTCTTGGATTGAACTCCTTCATAACTATTTTGAAGAGTTTTTGCAGCAACCCTTAACTATAATGCAACCCATATGCAGCAACCCTTAACTATAATGCAACATATATGCCAAAACAACCTTTACCTACCTTTGCTCCAAAATCATTGCAAGTAGAAATTTGAAACACAGACTAAACTCAATTTCAATCAAGGTTAAAATTTCTATTCAATCGGAATATACCAAAGAGCCAAACGACAACATTGGGCTCAATACATTGTTATCATTCTGCTATTTTTTTATGTCCATCCCCTTTAAAACGAAAATAGGGCAAAAAAGAACCGAAATAGAGAAGAGGAAGAGGGAACATGATACCTGAACCGTTAGCCTTGAACCGTTAGCCTTGAAACGAAGGAGCCCTACAGCTTGAGGCAACGCGCACTTATGAAAACAACAACTGAAACGAAGGAGCAAAGACGCCACACGCAGATGAAAAGGGCAGAGGATGTAAGCTGAAAAGTAACCAGAAACGAAACAAAGAAGAAAAGGACGAAGAAGGAACGTGATACCTAAAACGACAACCCTACAGCTTGGGAGACCTTGCACTGATGTAAAACGAAGGAAACACGCACTAATGAAAGCATACGCAGATGAAAACGTCTAAGCAGAGAGAAACGCGAATATCGTCTAAGCAGAAACGAATAAGGTCGAAGGAGAAGCGCGAACTGAAATTGTTTTAATAATCATAGATATCGCTTAATATAAAACGCATTATCTATTGTGTTCCATACAGAGCGCTAATTTAAAGGGCGTTATTTATTTGCTCTTTCATAGATAACGCTCCTTTAAATACGCGCTATTTATTGATATATTTTAAATTATAGAATTAAAAAATAATATTAAAAATTTATAGATAGCGTATTTTTAAAAAAGAGTTATCTATTTTCCCAGTTATAGACAGTGTTTTTTTAAATAAGCGCTATCTATTGGTTCTCCAAATTCATAGATAGCGCTTATTTCAAAAAGCGCTATCTATTTGGCGCTATCTATTTGCATTTTTGTAGTAGTGAGACGAGAGTAGATGGAGGAGAAGAATCTGAAATCTAGAGAACTTTTTCCCTCCTCCGGAAACTCTGTTGCAACCATCACCACAAGGTTCTGACCACAACACAAAAATATGGAGAACAACAATATCAGAAGAACTCTTGCTGATTACACCAGTACAACTGGACCTCAACACTTTAAACAGTATAGCTAGACCTAGAGTCAATGCAGCTAACATGGAGGTCAAACCGCGTTGGTCCAACTGGTGAAAGCAATCAATTCAATGAGTTATCTCATGAAAGCCCATATGAGCAC